TGACGGCCGAGATCCTGGAGCTGGCGGGCAACGCGGCCCGCGACAACAAGAAGACGCGCATCATCCCCCGGCACCTGCAGCTGGCCATCCGCAACGACGAGGAGCTCAACAAGCTGCTGGGCAAGGTGACCATCGCGCAGGGCGGGGTGCTGCCCAACATCCAGGCCGTGCTGCTGCCCAAGAAGACCGACAGCCACAAGGCTAAAGCCAAGTAAGCGCTGAAGAACACCGCCCGGGAACCTTTTCCCACAGAAACCCAAAGGCTCTTTTCAGAGCCACCCACTAGATCATTGAAGAGCTAAATTGCTTTAAATGTACTTAGAAACACTTGGGAACACTTAATATTCTCGTCTTCCTTACTGAAAATAGAAAAGCCAAATTTGTATGACTATATGCTGATTTCCGAATGCTACGTTAGAGTGATTTTAAAAATATGTGTTACTGCGCGTGCAGGCGAGATTATAGAGCATCAAAAAAATAGTTTCGAAACGTAAACTGTTTAGTGATTTAGGTCTGCAGTTCGATTTACAAGTGCAAAACAAATCTTTTCCTGCCCCATCCTAGCTTCCTGCTGAGGCGAACAGCCGGGTAGCAAGCGAAAACCAACCCCGCCCCTCCCCTGTGCTTCCCCTCCCACGTAGGCGCACACAGGGACGCGGAAAACAAAGCGTTAAGTACCGGCTACAAAACTGTTTAAAAACAATGGAGTAAATTATCAAGTCTCTAAGTACTTACGCTGCCTTGAGGCAATGTCCGTTCTCAAAGGAGCGAACGATCTCCCCAGCATTGCAGCGATAACGATTAGAGCAGCACCGAGAGCTGCTCCTAATGCGGGGAAGTTCCTCCCACTCACGGCGCACACTTCACCAGCTGCCCTATGACACAGACTCGAAAACTGTTAAGCTATGTCCGCTCTGTACTCCCGATATATATATATAAACTCCCTTATTTCAGCCCTTTTTGAGATAATTTGGGTGGCTCTTAAAAGAGCCGTTGGGTTTAAATGCGGAGCAAGAGGTTTCTTCCACGGGGGCTTACTTCTTCTTGGGCGCCGCCTTCTTCGCCTTAGCCGCTTTGGGCTTGGCCGCCTTGGGCTTGGCTGCTTTGGGCTTCACCGCCTTCGCCTTGGCCGGGCTCTTCGCCGCTGCCGCCGCTTTTTTGGGCTTGGCAGCCTTGGTCGCCTTCTTGGGGCTCTTGGCCGCTTTCTTGGCCGCGGCGACCGCCGGCTTCTTCGCTTTCTTGGGGCTCTTCTTCGCTGTCACCGCTTTCTTGGGCTTCTTGGCGGCGCCGGCGGGCTTCTTGGCCGCCGTCTTCTTGGGCTTGGCGGCGGCTGCCCGCTTCTTGGGGGCTTTTTCCTTCACCTCGCCGGGCTTTTTGCTGAGACGGAAGGAGCCGGAGGCGCCGGTGCCCTTGGTCTGCACCAGGGTGCCCTTGCTGACCAGGCTCTTGAGCCCCAGCTTGATACGGCTGTTGTTCTTCTCCACGTCGTAGCCGCCGGCGGCCAGCGCCTTCTTGAGCGCGGCGAGCGAGAGCCCCTTGCGCTCCTTGGAGGCGGACACGGCCTTGGTGATCAGCTCGGTGACGCTGGGGCCCGCCGGCTTGCGGGCTTTTGAGCCGCTCGCTGCCTTCTTGGGCTTCTTGGCGGCGGCCTTGGCGGCGGGGGCCGGGGCG